GTCAATTGTGGAACACATGAAGTAAATGATATGTGGAAGCAAATGAAGAGTAGCATAGTGTTTGCTAAACCCAAAGATCGTACCAGGAAAAGTGGAAAGCAGTTTGGCAGAAACTGGGTTCAGATCAACATCTAACACCAGAGAAGAACAAGAGCAATAATTATAGCTCGCATTTACGTAGTGATCGAAGATATGTGAAGCACCTTAAACACGTTGTTTCACTTGAGCAGGTACCACAGCACACTCCAGATGTACTCTGAATGTAGATCTGAAAAGTCACATCATTACCAAATTTGAGGAGCAAAGAAGGAGATGCCTTTCACAGCTAGAGATAGGAGAAGAGTTCATGACCAAACAAGGGATTGAGCACTTCACAAAAAATAAGATGAACAATTTCAGTTATTTAAAATTGAAAACCTTCTGCACAGACAAAATCAGTGCAAGAAAAATTAGAAGAGGAAGTGGAACTGAGAAACTAGTAACTGACTAGGAAAAAATCTTTGCAGAAAGATTCTCTGGTAAAGTTCTGATTTCCAAAATACATAAGGAATGTAAAAAAAATCTATTTCCTAATAAATAGTCAAAGGATATTAATAGGCAGTTCTCAAGGAAAACACCCAAGGTACCAACAACAGCCACTTGAAAAAAAATGCTCCAAATTACTTATAATTAAAGAAATGCAAATCAGAATAACATTGAAGTTACATCTCATACTCATCAGAATGGCAAAGATGATGTTTGTTGGAATGGCTGTTCAGTGCAGGCACAGTCTAGCCATTCTGGAAAGCCATTTGGAACTTTATCCAAAAAGTCTTTAAACTGTGTATAAACTTTAATGCAATGATACCATTACTAAGTATCTATCCCAAAGATATCAAAGAAAGATCAAAAAGAACCTTAGGTGCCAACATATGCATGGCAACTCTGTTTATAGTGACAAAGAACTAGAAATTAGGGAGCTACCCATCAGTTAGGGATTAAAGGAATAAATTGTGGTATATTAATGGAATGGAATACTTTCTTGCTATAGGAAATAATGAAAGGAATAGGCTCAGAGAAACCTGGGAAGACTTATCTGAATTGATCCAGAGTGGAGTGAGTAGAATTAGGAGAATAATTTATAAAACTATAACATTGTAAAGAAGAAGTGTTATAAGATTAAGCCTGGTAGTCTTGAGACCACTATGACAGTCTTCCCTTGAGGGAGACTGTAGCTTGTAGGATCTATTAATGGAAAAATACTGGCAATAATATTTTTCAGGTTAGGGTACCTATGTACCCCCAAATAATCTTTATTATAAGAATTCCTTCCTTTCCATCCCAATTTATTGCCCCCCACAGAGCATCAGTCCTAATCTCTGACCAACTGTTTGTCTCCATCTTCCTGTCCCATAACCCTTACCGGTCTATCCTGTTTCTCATTAGTAGATTTCTCTCAACAGCTGTCATTATTGGTTCACCACAAAAATATATATTTTTTGCCAATTACATCTTATCCCTCCATTCCCACCCTTCTTTCTGTTCCTTTTGACCTACATTTCCCCAGCCTGTCTTTACCACATTTTGCTAGTCCTTCCTTTTTCATTTCAATTGATGTTTGATAAATTCGATACGATGGAAAGAGTGCTGACTCTAGATTTAGAGACTGACTTCAAAGCTCCCCTCCAACACTTATTGCCTGTGTGTCCTTGGGCAAGTCATTCAGTCTCCTTGAGTTTTAGTTTCCTCATCTATAGAGTGAGGGCATTAGATTAAATGGCCTCTGAGGTTCCTTCCCACTCTACTAGAGATGGGTGATCCTGTGACCCAGAGATCCTGAGTTTCATGGTAAAAAGGTGATCATATATCAGTTAAATGATTTGCTCAGGGTTATCTAGACCAAAGACAAAATTTATATCTTTGTTCCTTAGCATTCTAAAGACTTTTCAGATAACAAAAGAAATATAACATTTAGTTATACCAATAAGGACCAAATACTTCAAGTACCTAAAACACTTGATACTTCTGTTGCAAATAAGAAGAAATTCTCCAACATTAATTTCTGTTGAATTATTTCTTTGCTCATATTAGTCTTTTGCCCCTGGAATATCAGTAGACTTTGTCAAATGTTTATAAAACCTTGTGAATAATATATTTATAGAGCAAAACAAAATTTTATCTTCACATGTAGTTTCAACTATTTCAACTATTTGACTAATTCCCTGGAGTTTTTTTACCTTAATCTTTATGTTTGGTTTTTTTTCAGAATTTATAGTTAGGTTGTCATAATAATATAGCTTTGCTTGTGTGCTTGCTGATAAAATGTGTAAGAGACTTTCTTATCAGCAGATTTTAGAACAAAAAAGAAAGAGCCCATCCAAACTCATGGCAAATTTACACATAGGAAATTTGATGATGTAAATGTTACAGTTGTAATGCATGAAGAAGAGTATTCCTCATCTGATTCCAGCGATGATAAGTCCATCCTTGAAGTCCTTTTATAGCTGATAATCTAAAAGGTAATAAACTATACAGTACTTGTCAAACCCAAATTCACAGCAAAAGAGATGAAGAGCCAAGATGTCTGAAAGGTAAAGATGGTTTAGCTACTTTTCATGCAGTGTGAGGACTCTCACAACAGCTTTATATCATTACACTTCCATCTGGTCCTACTGCAGTCATCAAGACAAATCCCCTTTCCTTTCTATTTTTTTTTAGCAAGCCAGTGCTTAGAAACATTCAGAAATGCACAAATGCTTATGGACAGTGAGTAACAGGCAATGTTAAATAAATAGTCTTTTACATTAGATGAATTAGAAAAATTCATTGTTTTTTGTCATGGCATTATTGGTGGAAGAAATCTGCCTATAAAAAAGTATGTGGAATAGCTCCTGAGGGAGTGTCCTTTATTCAGTGAAACTAAGCCAAATAATTGATTCCTAGGTATAATGAGATATCTTTGCTTTGACCTGAAAAATGAAAGGGAGCCAAATCTATTTCAGGACAAGTTTTGTCTAGTATTCTCATTGTGGGATTCTTTTATTGAAAATTGTCAGAATGCATTTATTCCTGATGTATTTATATAACAGTTGATGAGCAATTGCTGTCTTGCAAGACACATTGTAAATTTATTCAATTAATGTCAAACAAATCAGATGAATTTGGCCTTAAATTTTGGTTGGCAGTAGACACCAAAAACAAATATTTGTTCAATGCATTCCTTTACTTAGAGAAAGACAATACTAGCAGCAGTGATACTGATGGGGTGCTTGGGTGCTTGTGCTTAGACCCCAATTTCTCCCTAGCCTCAGAAACACTATCCCTGACAGTTTCTCCCCAGCCCAAGGACACTGTGCTTAGCAATTACTCATGAGTGGGCCCCAGCAAGACCCTTATCTCTCTCCTTGGTGAAGTTACAAACAGCACCTGAAGGAATTATTATTTTGCATTGGCTTTGCACTGGGTCATAAAGACATTTTTACCCACTGGACTATCTCCTACCGCTCTACCTTATTATCTACATCCTGGACTCCTCATTAACTGTATTCTAGACTTAAGACGTATGTATACTCCCTACATCTATCTATTCAAACAAGACATTGATTGGTGGCAGACTGGACAACTCTCAGTTACCCTGAACTCTGGTTGACTTAGTGACCTAGCAGGCCTAAAACCACATCTCCATGTGGCCTCCCTTGTGGGCTTTTCAGTGAACTGCGCAGTAGGTGCAAGAAGTGCATGTTCTTTTAAGAACTGACCACTCCTTAACCACTCCCTAATCCCACCCTGAGTCATCTAGTTTGCATATTTGGTACATGTTTTGTTGTATTTTATCCTATATAAACTTTAACTGTACCACTCTAAGATTGCAGGATCCTTTAAGAATCCTTGCCCGCTGAAAAGTGTAACAATAAATGTTTGCCACCTTGACTTAAAGAATGCTTGAGTCTGTGAATTCATTCCAGATGACCCATTTACTTCAGTCTTTGAGGGGTCACAACCTCTCAACCTCTCACACCGCAACAATACCAGTATAACTACTGATGTAATATTGAAGGATGTGAAATTGCTATTTTAAAAAGGTGTAGCAGTGGCAATTATCTTACATCCTGTCATGTACATTTTCTTGAGCTGTATAAAGCAAAGGTGCAGCATAATTAGGACGTTGTCAGAACCATGGAGAACTTCAGAAATGGTGAAGACACATAGGCCACTGTGCAAAACTGGTTTTGAAATCTATAGAGAAGCCCAAAGTGACACTGCCTTCATGCTAGTGAAAGACATCCAAGTCTGTAACTATCATGAGTACCCTCCATCCATATGTTCACAGCCATCAGAGAGCAACCCAAAGCAAAAACCAGATACTCTCCTATTTTATAAGAAAACGTCAAGGTGCTGCTTAGTGAAAGCAGCAGACTGTCCGAGAGAGCCATACTAGAGATCATCCAAGTGGCAGATGAAAAGTTACAGCCACCGTGAAGACATGAATTGAATGCTCCTCCAGCCACAGTGCACCACTTGTGACCTTATGAAATACCATTGTTTTGCCCAAAACAAAGCACAAATCTGTTTCTGGCAAATGCACAATGAAAAAAAATGTGCAAAAAACAATTTCTAAATAAATTGTTACAAGGGAATATATGTGATAACTAAATATTTTCTTTCTCTTATCTGTGCAGATCCATTTTAAATACAAATAATTAAAAGCAGATGTTGTTTTACTTTGAAATAAAAATTATCGTCCTACTCTCTTTTCTTTGACGTGTGGATGAAAAAGAATGTGCTGTGTCAATTGATGCAGCTTGGTTCTTTGAGGTATTCTTAAACTCTGGTCCTGTTAGTGCTGCCGTTTCCGCCTTGACACTGTTGCTTTAAAATGAGCATTGTTTTATGCCTGCTTCACCATCTGAGGCTGAATTCTAGAAAAACGCATTATTTCGCCTTTAGCTATGGGATGGGATTGAGGTCATGCCACCTCATGCATGGAACTAATTATTTCCTGCTCTCTTTTTCCTGTACAGAGCCTTTCATCCTACTATAAAGGAGGATTTGAGCAGAAAATGAGTAGGCGAGAAGCTAGTCTTATTTTAGGCATAAGGTAGGTGTGTTGCATAAGTATTATTTTTCTTCTGTGACCAAGTTTGCCCTTTGAAACAGAGAAAATGCCAGGTACAAGGATGAGACAAAATTATTCTTGTATTTCAGCATTTGAGGGAAAGGAGATATTTTGAATGTTTATATTTTGAAATATCAAATCCAGGCATCTACTTACATGTAGCAGAAAATATAAACAATCATAAGCTCTGGCTTCATGCCTTAAGGACAAAAATCTGCAGCTGTTGAAATAATAAACCTTCAGAAATAAGTAAAATTTCACTTATTGTGGTACTTTGAATGCTTACTGGGGTCACTATTAGAATCTGATATGCAGTATACCACAGTTTGCATTGTGGAATCTGTTGCCTCCTTTAATGTCTAGCATATTTTCATTGCATCTATTTCATCTTAGTTCTCATTTGTTATTTGCAGAAGACAGAAAACAAGGAATTCCATAGTGATTCTACATCATGAGAGTACTTTTGACTAGGAGAATAATACAATTCACACATATGCCAAAGAAAGATTATGTTTTCCACCTTTGTTGAGAATGGATTGGAGAGGAGTGAGACTGGAAGCATGAAGACCAATTACGAAGCTTTTCCAGTAGTCTGGTCAAAAAGAAACACCTGGAATAGTGTCCACGGGATTGGAGAGAATAGGCCGAATCAGCAGGGCTTGACTCCTGACTGGATTGAGGGAGAGCAGAGTCAGTGAGGGCCTGGTGGTTGTGATGCTGCGAAGTACAGCAGTGGGAAACTCCACAGTTGGCTGTGGTTTTTTTAAAAGGGGGTTCAGTGGATAATGGGACAGTTTTATGAAGTCTTTAAAGTTGGCCCTGGTTGTCTTTGGAGTTAAAATTTTAGCTAGACTTTGATCTTTCTCCGGATTTAAATCCTTTTCTTTTAAAAAAAAATAAATCCTGTTCTTTTTGACATATCCCTTAGCTTCCTGGACCGTTTGCTCTTTCTAGCCCAGGGGTTCTTCACCATTTTTGTGTCAAGGATTCCTTTGGTGGTTTTTCTCAGAATCATGTTCTTAAATGCATAAGATAAAGCAATGTAGGATCATGAAGGAAATCAGTTATGTCAAAATATATAACAAAATATTTAAAAAACAATCTCGTGGATCTAGTTTAAGGATTTCTGGTCTAGCGAAAAAAACAAAAACAAAAAACAACCCAGCAACTGTATATTGTATATCTGATAACAGTCTGCACTTGCAGAGCTTCTTATATATCTTACTTGTTATGTTTTTGGTTGTTTTGTTTTTGTTGGTTGGCTTTTTGTTGTCATTCTTTTGGTATCATTCGTTCCCCATACTCTCCTCTTTTCCTCTCTTCTCTTTTCCCTTGAAAGTAAAATTTTCATCTAGCTCCTACTTTTTAGGGCTTTTTTTCCCCCAAAGTAAATTTGCTCTGTGCCTTAGACATCCTTTCCTATAGTAGCTTGACTTTTTTATTTTAGAGGTAAAGAAATGGAGGGGCAGGGCTTAAGCAACAACAGTCCAATGATCTTTTCTCAATTCTCGTTCCTACTTGACCTCTCTGTAGCCCTTAACACTGTTGATCCTCCTCTCCTTGGTATTCTCTTTTCTGTAGGCTTTGGGACACCACTGCCTCCTGGTTCTCTTACCTAGTCAACTACTCCTTGTCTGTCTCCTTTGCTAGATTTTCATCCAGCGCATGCCCTCTAACCATAGGTGTCCTTCAGGGTTGTATCCTGGGCCCCCTTCTCTTCTCCCTCTATATTACTTCACTTGGTGATCTTATCAGCTCCCATTGATTTTATTACCATCTCTATGCTGGTATTCTCAGATCTCTGAATCTCTCTGTTGACCTCCAGTCTCATATCTCCAACTGGCTTTCAGACATCTCAAATTGGATATCCAGTAGACATCCTAAGCTCAGTATATCTAAAACTGAACTCATTATCTTTCCCCGTAAACTGTCCCCTCCATCCTCACCTTTCCTATTACAGCATCGTTCCCATCTCTCAGACTCATAACCTAGAAGTCTACTTGGACTCCTTGCTATCCCTTCCCCCCCCCCATATCCCAGTTGTTGCCAAGGCCTGTTGATTTAACAACATCTCTCAAATATACCCTCTTGTCTCCTCTGATTGACATTGCTACCTCTCTGGTGCACACTTACCTCCTCACACCTGGACTATTGCAGTAACCTGCTGGTGTGTCTGTTTGCCTCAAGTCTCTCTCCACTCCAGTCCATCCTCCATTCAGCAGCTTAAATGATTTTCCTAAGATGCAGGGTCTGATCAGTTCACCCTCTACCCAGTAAACTCCAGTGACTCCCTGTCACCTCCAGGGTCAAATACAGAATCCTCTGTTTGGCTTTTTATAACCTAGCCCCTTCCTAACTTTCCAGTCTCTTTATCCCTTACCCCCCAGCACTGTTACTCTAGTTATACTGGCCTTCTGGCTGTTTCATGAAGAAGTCACTCTATTTCTTGATTTTATATACATATACATATACATACGTATACACACGCATATATAATTATATATGTGCAGTCATGCAAGACACATTTTCATTTTAGCCATGTTGCAAAACAAAACAAGAAAAATAAAGTATGTTTAAAAAGCATGCTTTGATCTGCATTCAGATTCTATCAGTTCTTTCTCTGAAGGTGTATAGCATTTTTCATCATAAGTTTTTCAGAACTGTCTTGGATCTTTGTATTCCTTGCTTTCTCCAAGTGGGGGAAAGAGAGAATTTGGACCTCAACATTTTTAAAAATGACTTAATTTATTTACATGTAATTGAGAAAAATAAAACTCAATTGGTACTTCTGGAAAAATGTCTTCATCCTTTTCTCCAACATTGAGCCTAGATACTTAATAATTGTTCAAATTGATATAGCACCACTATATATTTTGCAAAGCAACTTATATAGATTATTTCCTTTGATTAGCATAAGAACCCTGGATGAGTTCAGATACTGTTACTACCATTTTAGAGAAGAGGTTGTATCTTTGCTTAGGGTAACACAGTTAGGTGGCAATGCTAGCATTTGAATTCAGGGCTTCTGAGAAAACCCAGTGTTCTCTTCATCAAACTATAGTTAGAATTTTGGACTGCTTTAGTAAATATATTAAGCACATAATACATGCACTAAATTATTTATTAAGTTCTTACTGTACATACAACACTGTTGGCATCCTGAGGGGAAAAATGGTGCTGACTCATATAGGATATATCTTTCCTCTGGGAGGAAAAATTAAGAAGAAAAGTACCATCCCTTTAAGACAGCATCTTGTATTTTTAAGGAAAAGCACAGCAAAAAAATGTCCAGATCTGAAGGATAAGAAGCAAAATTAATGATCCTTTTTGCTTATTAATAGTTCCATGAACTTGATGATATTTTATTACTAACCTCTAGAACAGGGGTAGGGAGCCTGCAGCCTCGAGGTCACATGTGGCCCTCTAGGAGTCAAGGGCCTCACTTGAGGACCTAAAGGGCCACATGTGTCCTCAAGGCTGTCGGCTCCCTACCCTTGCTTTAGAATCCAATTTAAGTTTCTAATTTAGCAATACTTCACTCATCTGGAGATAAGTGAATATACTAACTAAAGTTTGTGTACTTTACTCAGAAAGGTCAGGCCCCACTTAAAACCTGTTTACTCTTACTTTAAACACAGTTCTAGAAAGCTTGATTGATTATCTGCTTTTCTAGCCCTAGTTGATTAGAAGCAGCAAAATAGAGAGATACATTGATAGCAGCAAATAAGGGACAGCCAGGAGCAAGGAATGGAACCACGCACCTATAAATAGTGAGGAAGAAAGCTCAGGAAGCAATACAGGACCATTTAGTGTTGGTGCAAGTAACTGCGCTAACCTCGGTGATCCATGAGGGTACAACTGCATTCTAAGACAGTAATAACTGATGTTCTTAGTGCATACCCTTAGTCATCAGGAAAAGGTTAAGTCAAATTTAGTATATTCCCTTTATGAAGGCAGCGCGGTAGGGAAGACGTATTAGCAAGGCTATCCAAAATCCAAAATATTTTTGACACTTCAGAGACTTGACATAGCAATTGTATGGAACATTTCATTCCCCAGTAATGCCAGGGAAGTGAAGTTTTCTTGATGATTTTTAAATCTCGCTTCTATTTCCCCCAGAATGTAAAGACAAGCAACCACACTTTTCTGATAGCATTTCTCATAAACATTTTGTAGGATCAGGTTATTTGCTAAACATGTCATTGAGAATCCTCTGTTAAAAGATTATTTGACTTATAATAAGAGGACTAGTTCACTACTTAGTACACTCTTAGTACTGTGACTCCTATGCCTCGTATATGATATTTTGTAAAAGCTTCCTGAAGCCAGAGAAGTGCAGGGAAACAGACCACGTAAAAACGGGGTCAAAGATTCATTCTGATAGTTGAAGTGAAAAACTGTAATTTCATGTTTGTCCACAAGGTGGTGAAATTCTCACTGGTTTTTAATTTTCAGAACCCCATATAAGCTGTTAATTTACAATCTGCATTTGACACTATTTATTGTAAGCGCTTTAATTTATTTTTACAGCCCATCTGCTGGCAAGGCCAAGATTAGAACAGCTCACAGGAGAATCATGATTTTGAATCACCCAGATAAAGGTACATGGAATTTCTATTTTCAATAATATCATACGGATCAGAATATGCTAAGAACTCCCTCCAGTTCATTTAAGTTCATTGTGAATAACTTACTGTAAAATTCACTAAATGATATACAGTTAGGATGGCAGTTTATGCTTCACATGTATTATGATTTCTGTCATAAATAAATAAGACTATATTGGAGTTTGGTGACCCACAGAAGTGGTAGATTTATATTATCTGCTTTGGAGGATTTAGTTACTGGTTTTTTTATATGTAAGAACTTGAACCTGTTTAGGGCTTCTGGCATTTTGGGTGAGGCAGAGAAAGCGTGAATTATAGACTATTTGATTGTATAAACTGATTTGAACAGCATGATGAGTTTCTGAGGGATCTGTTCTAAGTCACGGAACACAATATATCATGGATTATTCTGAATTTCTTAATTCTATTCTGTAAGACTCTGAAGCTGAGCCATTTGTTTTTAACTGGCCAGGTTTTTAATGTAAATTTATCTTACAGAAAAGCTATTATTATAACTTTAACTACACTACAGCTGGTTGAGAGAAAAAGCCCATATGTTCATTACTGTTTGTGCTTTAAAATAACAGATGGTAAAGAGTTGCCCTATATTTCAGAAGTCAGAGGGGGAGGGGGAAGAGAGTTGGGGTTTTTTAAAATCCTTATTGACAGATTTAGTTTTCTAATGGGGTAGGTGGATAACTTGGGTTTCTACCAATCCCCACTCCCACCAAATAAGATATTCTTCCTTCAGCCCTTTTACTTTCTTAATTATTTTCTATAAAAATAATCTTTACCAAATACCATACCATTGGTTTCGTGTATTTGTTTTTTAGTGTGGATAATAAAAATTTAAATTGTGAAAAAAATGTTTTAATGTTTTCAGATAGCTCCATTAGTCACTGAAATTTCTGCTCCACTGTCTTAATTCTCATTCACTATTTGAGTATCTTATTTTGAAAGAACTTTATATAGGTACTTCCATTAAGCCTCCTGTCTCCAGAAAACTACCATTTCCGGGTCAAATAGATGCAACTTCACTGATTGATTTGTAATAGGGGTCAGGAATTCAGGCAGTTGGGCCCTCCATATGATGGACAGGTTGTTGATTATGCCTGTTGGTAAGGAAACAGAGTTTTTAAATGCAGCACTTAAAGAATTTTTTTCGTACCCAAAGAGAGTAGAAAATAGTATATCGTAAGGTCCAGTCTTGCTTCAATAAATGCTTGATTTTTTTCTTTCTTTCTTTCATTTTTATTTTTAAAGTTACAGTATATTTCTACAGGGAATGTTATGTTCAATTAGTAATTTTCATGGATTGGTCCACTTACAGTCCATGTAATATACTAACTGTATCTTACTATACTATTTCATGATTTGCATTGTTGTTTTATCTATTTCGTTTGTGAAGACCAATACCCATATTTCTTATCTCATGACTGAATTTTCATTCAGATTACATTTTTAAATTTAGTGATAGTAATAGTTCATGCTGTGTAACTTTTCAATTATGAAACAGTTGCACATGTGTTTTCATTTGATCCTCACGACAATTCTCTGAAGTAGGTTGTGCCAAGTATTATATCCCTACTTGATAAATGAGGACAGAGAAGTTAATGGGTGGAAAGATACCCAGCTAGTAAGTGGTAGAATGAGGATTGAATGTAGGTCTTCTGATTCTAGATCACCTTTTTGTTTTGTTTTGTTTTTTTAAATGGGAAAGTAGAATCAAAGGAAATAAGGAAAAATGAATCTGTAGGTACTTTTAATAAAACTACTGCAAGTTAAGGAAAGGTAGGATATAAAATGCAAAATGGAAGAGAGAATTTAGGTTTGATATTCCTGCATCTGTGTAATGACAACTGAAGATGAGGTTAGCTTGGAAGGTATACAATTTTAATAAAAAAATATGTATCAAGAAAAAAAAGTAAGAGTATGTTGGAGGGCAGCAAACGTGGGAGCAGGCCTTAGAGTCAGGAAGACCTAGATTGGTGCTGGACTCCATGTGGATACCATGACACCTCAGAACTCCCACATCAAAGTGATCTCCGAACCTCAGAGCAACAAGGATTACAGGGGTGCACTACCGTACCTGCTGCTGTTTTTTCTTTTACCATTCTTTGGCGTATTTGCTTTGTCCGAATAAATAGAACGTTCAAAATTGTTACAAGAATTCATACTCTAAAGCTTGCCTCTGAAATTCATGTATAATGTTTCTAGCTATTGACCATATTGCATAAGGAATCCATATAATCACCTGCCCAATAGCTCTGCTATTTGTCTATCCTTTTGATCACTCATGAAATGGAGATGGTTTTGGAAAAATAGCTGAGGAAACTAAAAGTGGGAAGAGATCTTCTGTGATTAGTGCAGTAATTTTCATGGTTACCACTGAGCCTTATAAGTGATAGTTATAGTTTGGCTAAGACAGGTGCCTGTTAAAGTTACCTAGATAATGAATTTGCCCACCTCAGGGCAAATGGCACAAGTAAAACGGGCAAGCTCAAGTTGCTCTTCTGTATTGTATGAGTGATATTTGAGGCCTAACATCAGGGAAAGGTTTAGAGTCAGATGCTCAAAGGAGAATTGAATTTTAATGACAGGCTGAACTTGACAAAGTACCATTCCATGCTACTGAATGCACTTATAGGGTATACTTTGAGAGACCTAGATTCACAGATTGAAATGCCAAAAAGTAGGTCTGAAAGTTGTTTGGTAACCACAGACAAACAGAAATAATGGAAATAGTGAACATCAACAGTCAGCTTGACTTCATCAAAAACAGGTCATGCCAGACAGACCAACCCGATTTCCTTTTTAGACAGGTTAGTAAACTGCTAGATCAGGGGAACGCATTAACAGTTTACTTAGATTGTAGCAAAGCATTTTATAAAATCTTTCATGTTATTCTTGTGGAAAAGATGGCAAGAGATGGACTAGAGGACTGAATGGCTAAATGGATTCTGAAGTGATTGACTGGAAAGTAATTTGGGCCTGTAGACCTCACCTCATACAAAAAGGCTATTATCTTCTCTTTTGATTTGAGGATCCTAGAATCAAATCACAGAACCACGGAATTAGTCACAGGAAGCAGACTTCACCTAGTCTTGTTACCCTTCTATTACGCAGGAGGAAACTGCGACCCAGGAAGGTTAAGTGCTTTGTCTGAGGCCATAGAGCTAGTTTGTGACAAAGCTGATGCTTAAACCAAGGGCTTCAACTTCCAGGTGCCGTATTCTGTCTATCACATCATCACACTTGTCATACCCTTTTTTTAGGTTTTTCATCTGCCCTTCCATCCTTGGTAGGTACAAATATCGAAAGCTTTGATGGAGCTGTGACTTAATGTGGATAGTTCTTCCCCCAGCACAGATTGCAGCCCAACTAGGATCTCCAGACATTTCTCTTGGCACCCTGTCTTGTTATTGTGTAGACAGCCTGGGAGCATCCATTAGTTAGCTTTCCCTTTCATTGTGACTGGCCCCCCTCCTTAAGTCAGATGTGAAGTTCTTTGTTGATAACATGTTGGGTTTTCTTCATACCCCCCATGTCTACACTGGGGTTAGGATGTCTCAAAATCTTAATTCTTGGGACAGTTTTGTTCTATGACACGTAGCTGTACATCACTAGAAGAATGTTGTTATTAAAAAGCTGTGCCTTTGCTTCAGAGGGAAAGTTTGGGGCCATTAAAAACACTGTGCAGTTTCCCAAAGGTAGGGACTGTCTTTGCTTTTGTATTTGTTTTCCAAGGACTGGGCATAGTGCTTAGCACGTACTAATAGCTTAGTAAATGCTTTTTCATTGGCAGAAAAATCTGAGACAATCTTAGTTATGTAGGTGTTGTCTGGAGGAAAGAGTGCTTTGTTTTTTGCTTCTAGGTCAGTATTCTTACTTATTAGATGCAGTTATCAATAAATCATAGTTATTTTGAAAGTGTCATTAATTTAAAAACCCTTGACTATCTTTTCTCATACTGACTAACACCTCTGAATGCCATCATTTTCCATACAAAACTTAATTAGTGAGAAAGCATTTTGTCTGTAATTTGTTGGTGATATAAAATACTGTTAATAAATATCTTCACCCTTAATGCCTCACTATTTCCTTACAGAAATATAACAGTATTTCTTCATTGAAAGCTTGGTAACTTGATAAAATAAATGTTTATCGAATTAAATTACATTGAAAGAGGCAATGGAATGGCAACTCACCATTCATGAGCAATAGGACACATTTATTAAGCACCTACTTGTGTATGACACTTTTTTTTTGTTGTTGGTTTTATTTTTTTTTAAAGCACTGAGACTTTTTTATTCTTTTCTTTTCCCCAAATTCTCTCCCTTCTTTTCTCCCCATTGAAAAGGCAAGAAAAAAAATTATAAACAAGTACAGTTGTGCGAAACAAGTTTCTGAGTTAGCCATGTTCCACCCTACCCCCCCCCCAAAAAAAAAGCAAGAAAAGAAAGAAAAAGGAAAAAAAATTCTTCAGATTGCACTAAGTCCATCAGTTCTCTCTCTGGAGGTGAATAGCATGGTTCACCATGAGTCCTTTGGAATTGTGGTGGATCATTGTATTATTCAGTTACTAAGTTTTTCAAAGTTGATTATCTTTACAATATTGCTCTTACTGTATAGATCGTTCTCTTCATTCTGCTCACTTCACTTTGTGTCAGTTCATAAAAATCTTCCCAGGTTTTTTCTGAAACCATCCCCTTCACCATTTCTTTTAGCACAATAGTATTGCATCACATTTATATATCACAGCTTGTTCAGATGTTCCCCATTTGATGGGCATCTTCTCAGGTTCCAATCCTTTGACACCACAAAAAGACCTGCTACGAATATTTTTGTACATAGGAATCCTTTTCCTCTTTCTGTGATCTCTTTTTGGTGTAGTTCCAAATTGCTTTACAAAATGTTTGGACTAAGTCGAGGCTCCACTGTTGGTACATTAATGTAACAGTTTTTCCACATTCCTTCCACAGTTTGTCATTTTC